TATGTAGCCATTACTGATATACATGTTATTCCCTCTGTTACCTCCAGTATGTCTCCTCATAGTGGCCGTATCTAGGTAGACATGTGGGAAGCGGCAACAAGGTGCAGGGGAACTCGTTTCTCAGGCGATCAGTGGCTCCTGTGGACCTCGATGGGGGTCCTCCGGAGCACAAAGTGTACACGAACAGTGAAGAGCCCGAGGCTCCCCCACCTCAAATGGATATGGAACCCATGGTGAGAACGAATCTCGGCACTCCCAGCATTCTATGGCCCTGCGTCTCCACAGTGGGACGGCAATAAGCCGATCATGACTGGTCGAGCGTGGCCTGATGAGACCGTCATCAGAAGGCCTGGGGCGAAACTGGACACGAGATATGGGGAGTTCTCCTCTGGAGTGGACGATGATGCTATCAAGGAAGTGTGGTCGAAGTGAGTGAAAGGAGAACTGACGGACCAACAACGAAACCGATTCCATAGGAACCCCATTAAAGTAGACAGGGGCCCCATATACAGCGAGACGAGTCCTGTTCAAAGTGTCACCTTGGGGATGGTCACTGATCTAGCGGATCCGTGAGTGATTGATAGTCAACCATGCTGCGGAGATTTGGGCGGCAGGTTGAATGAAGTCGCGAAGTTACCGGATCTTCCAGATCGACCTGCAGATGATTCAGCGGCCATCAAACAAGAGCTCATGGTGGGTCGCGTCCATGACGAATCAACGAAGGTCCAACTCGTCTCACTCAGAGATCCAAATCGATGAAGAGAACGAAGCAATTCGCGTTGAGTCCGCAGCCTACGGATATACCCGACGGGCAGCCGGTTCTACCAGTAGGGCGAGTGGCTCGCAAGTGTGCATCAGAGCTGTATGTGTATCAGAAAATTCGAGGAGGTGACACCGTTTATGGAATGGAAGAAGGGGAACCTGCAGCCTCTTTGACTCCTGAAGAACGCCGAGTGAGACCGGGGGTGGTCTTCCCTATCCGGGTGGTGCAATGCTGTGTTCGTATCAGAAACGGATTAATCAATACCGTTCGGAGGGGCAGAAGTTCAACGAAGATTTTGACGTTAAAACGGTATGTG